TGTTTTTTTTTACTTTTATGAAGCACTTTGGCTCAACTCCTGTTATTTTTAATGTGCTATATAAATAAATCTGACTTGACTTCAATTATGTAAACTATATTAAGTGGACAAATATTTTCTTAGTACTAAAGCAGCCAAAAACATGAAAAATGTATGATGGATGCATACAGTAATGGGACCAGTCAAGAATATGGACAACTGGACTGAAGAGTTGGAGGAGTTTTCCATCTCTCTCTCTCTCTCTCTCTCTCTCTCTCTCCAATTTTATTTTCTAACCTCAAAACGTACGTGAAAGACTTTCTCAACAAAACACACGTGACCGAAACATCATTGTATGCTCCAGGACATGGTCCATTTTTTCTTCTTTTTAGTTTGACAAACTCAGAAGAATAAACTACACTGGGTATTTTTAAAGCGATGAGGGAATGTGCTGACAAAATGCACCAGCACTTTAATGCTTTAAATAGTTTTTGGATGCGGTGGAGGTCGACAACACAATTAATCTACTGAGCATCAGCGTGTGGCAACAAAGAGTTGTCAGGATGAATTTGTTGTTGGGTTTTCTTTCCATTTGATTTGTGGAATAAAAAGTAATAAAAGGAACAAAAAAAACACAAGCCTTATCTTTTACTGGTGACCATGGGTTCCAGTATATATCCTTGTCAAGTTTTGTAATGATTATCAGCAAAATATTCCATTCAAAATGTGCTTGGTCTGCACCATTCATTTTTTAGAGATGCTTATAGATGCTTACAGCGCTACTGTTTTTTGTTATTTTACTCACACCAGTGCATCTACATGACTGTATTGGAACTAAGACCTCCATCATTATTCATTTATACTGTACAGCAGAGAAAATTATAATGTTGTTGCAGTATTTTTTTTAAATCTGAATGAATTTGACTATTGGAGGGCAGGTTTTTTATTTAAGATCAAAAGCAAGAAAAGTGGCTGCACCATCTAATCCATTAAACCTGATATATGCTGCTTCTTGTGTGGCCTGTACATTTCTCTTTCTTTAGAGACTGATAAATCAAAACGTAAGGACATACTGTGCAGGAGCCCGGTAATGATAAATAGTAAATTTCCTAATACCTCCAACAAGGAGCAATGTTTTCACTTCGGTTTGTTTGTTGGTTTGGATATTAGTTTGTTTTTCAAGATTATTCCTGATATCGCACAGAATTATTCATGAATTTTGAAGAAAAAAAATCTGGCATATTAAAGGAACTGATATGTAAAAGTGTGTGTAATTTGGTGCAGCTTGATTTATTTTCAGGGAACTATTGGGCCTTGGCTGGGGTATTGGCTCTAGTGTGAATTTTATTATTCTAAACTATATATACTGAAAAACTATACCTAACATGAAAATGAATTGCCATCTCAGGGTAGATTAACAATGTTGCAAAACTTCTATTACACTACCAACATGATAAAGTAATAATGTGCAAAAACAACCTGTAACTTCAGCAGTCAAACAGTGTCTCTCCCTGCATCAGTGAGCAAACTGTCCACATAAAGATGCCTCACCAGCATGACATGTTTTCCCTCTCTAGTCATTTTAGTAACCTTTGACATAAAGTGATCACAGACCGGCAGGGATGGTAAACTGGAGAGCGCTGCATGCAATAAACTTGACATTGCATGGAAGGATTTCTGGCTTGTGTACAGCTCGAATATTTTCACCTCAAGTAACCTCCTTTTGTATTATTGTTCTGATACTTATAAAACATTCTTTGATGCTTTTAATGAAAATGGTTTGCTGTGACACACGATTCATTAACTTTAATTTCCAGCTTCTATATAGTAAATTGGTTAAACAAAGAAGAAAGCAGAACTGTGCCTTCCTACAGAATTATATTAAACCTTAAATCAGAGTTATTTGAATGTGAGTGATGACAGCAGGACTGATTACTATGAACAGTTTGTGGTACATAGTATGTACATGTCATATATAAATATACACACATCTCAAAAGAAAATCAACTAGGATGAAACTAACAGTGCATACCTTCACTTTCTGTCTCCTTATGAAACCACATTTCATTTCACTTAATCCAGATTTTTAATTGAACATGCAGACTAATACATATAAGTCCCCACACATTTCTTATTTTTCATCTAGATCCATGACTTATCGCCCAAGAAATTAAAAAAACTCTTTAGAAACGCCCTATCTCACAGTGGAAAAGAAAGTGGAATTGGAATTTCTCACTATTACCTAAATTAAAGAGCTCTATTGATTAGTTGATTATTCAATAATTCGATCAACAGACAAAAAGGAGAGGATTTACATGTGTGGTTTACTAATATTGAAAAAGTTCCCAAGGCACAATCCTCTATGGAACAGTTTCCTGGATACTTTGAAATACCAGTTACCAATCACCAGTATTTCTTTATTAAAAAGTAGTAGTCCAATGAAAACTGTTCACGGTGATTCTGAGGATTTTTCCTTTTCAACAAAACAGACATTGTCTCTCGGATTTTTTGATTTGTCTTTTACTGCTGTGAGCACAACAAACTAAAATTCACTCACCGTCAGTCTGCTGGGAAACAAAAGGACATCTCAATAAAACCAAAGCTATCGATGCAACACTAAAACTGAGAGTGTAAACTATATAATCTGGATGAATCACCTCCTTATCTACACCTCAAATGTATTTAACTGAAATAGTTCTTTATTATAAATAACAAGCTGGAGAAAGGAATTGAAAAACTGGGCATGCTGCACTATAGCTGGACTCCGAGAGGATTCATGTGAAGTGCAGAGCTGAACTCACATTGAAAAGTGTGTCATGTTCTGTAAGAGCTGTGTATCCTCACAGCTGCGACTACACAGGACCACGTCTATGAAGTATGAAGACACAATCCTACTTATACTAAATGTACTGCGGAAAATGTGCTGACTCAAAAGGAACACATGAATTATCCTCAAAACAACTCGCATATAACTCCACTGTCCATCGGACGCACTTAAGAAAAAGAGTCACTGAGTGTAGGTCAGCTTTATTCCCAGAGCTGAGGCTTTTCATTATTAATGCAGACCTCACGAAAAATAGGAACGAGATCACAGAAGAAAGAGAGGGGAGGGGAGAGTTCACCAGACAACACAAACTGTCAGAATTAGACTTGTACTGCCAACAAATCTGAACACAAGTTAGAAAACCACACTGATAATGTTTGTGTAGCAGGTATTGCTTCAGAGAGATCAACAGCGGTGTTTGTGGAGGAATTAAAAATAAATGAATCTGCGGTGGCTCATTCTACAACCAAGCATTTTTTTGTTTGCCATGTTATTTTTCATTTTTGTGGTAAAAAGATTATTTCGTAAAACTCTGTTTGAGACGTCCAAGAGATGAAGAATTATATCTGACCTGTCGTTAATCATTTGGTTAGCATTTTATCTGTGGACTGAGACAGATGTAAGGAAGCACTGTGACAACGGGAGCAGGGATTTATTTATTGCCTCCTGTGTTTTATCATGAAAGTAAATAAATAAAGTGTCTTTTAGCGCGCACGGAATCTATCATGTTCTCTCATTACAGACTGTAAAACGATTCCTTTCTTGTCCCAAACTGATAACTTGTTTCATTTAGTCAAAGGACAAAGAGACTGGAAAACTCTGCATAGGTGACAAAAACATGTTTGAGCCCAAAAATAACAAAAGGGCTGCAGCAGAAACTGAACTATGAATAATGTAGTAGAGGAGTGCGATGAGGGAAATGAGACGAAACGTTTAAAATGGTGAGAGAAAAATCTCTTCTGTCGTTGAAGACATATTACTATGACACATGTTTCACATTATTCATTAATTTAATTCAGAATATATTACTTTAGGTACTGGGCTGATATTTAAGGTGAACTTTGATATAACAAAAGATGAAAGTGACACACACATTTCTAAAAAGGTCTGGGATCAGCTAAAGAAACTAATATTTACTAGAATAAACACTAGTTAATTCAACAACACTACAGAGTGTCTTAATTTAACACTG